GTGTCAGTCATATGGGCTAATGTTGGACTTGTGGGCTTGGACAGCACTGCGTTGGGATGTTTTCTTGATGTGCACTTAACCTTTATATAAAACTCTCTCTTAGACATTTAATTTTCTGTGGATTTATTTCTCTGATGTACCCAGGCTAACACACCAACAAATTGATGGAGAGTTTTGAAAAGTATCAAGCTTATGTTCCTGTTCCTTCCTCATACACAACGTTCTCATTGGCAGTGGGGAGGAAGGAAGCAAAAGGACAAAAACCATCATCAGTTGACCTCCCTGACTTGGTTATAGCCTCTGCCAGAGCTTGCAGATCTCATGAGAATCTTGTGCTGGTGTGGAACTAGCAGAAAGCAGTGTTGAACCAATATTCTTCCAGGAATAAGTCAGCACAGCTTCCTAGGGATGCCCGCGACTCCTATAAAAAGACCATTGGCAGGAAACCAACTGAGGCAATATTTGTAGTCACTGATTTTAACGTGCATAATTTAAAAATACTAATTTTTCTCCCCTGTTGTCATAAGTAAATGTTGTTCACGTGCCTTTTAACTGTTTTAAGTAAGCAAATATGTTAAATTACAAGGGTTAATTGCAAGGATCCACTTAGCTATCATCATAAGTTATTTAAGTGGATAAAGTTACCAAAATAATTAACTTGTTTCAGATCATAACATTCTTCAACAGCTCCTGATTTATATTAGTATGGATTGCTTTCCTCTGTAAAAACCTGATTCTCTAGTGGATAGGTTTGAGTCTCGCTTCAGATTCATTTTCAGTTAGACCTGTGTGGTCTGTGCTGAACTGAACTACTTCCTGGTTTCAAAAGCAGGCGCAGCTATTTGTGGCATCTTTGTCTTGCGCCTTTGGCGTCCTTGTGGTGTGAACCGGAGCCATGCCAGCTGTAGTCAAGTGAGATTATTAAAAAAAGTGAAATGATTCACTGGAAAATTTCAACACAGATTCTTAAGGAATGATAAGGTAACCCTAGAAACATTCTTATTGGTGTCATGCTGGTGTGGGTAGTGACAGAAAGAGAAAAAAGGAAGGTACAACTTGTTTCTTAACATGTGCTGTTTTGCAAATTGGAGAGGCGCAGTGCTAGAAAGGAGAAAGAATTCCGTGCAGTGTCGGTAGCGGAACTCTGCAGATGATTCAGTCTCTTCTCTGGCCGCAAGATGATGCCAGTGAGGTTTGTTTTCTGCCCTGCACATCGCAAATGGCCGTCCTCTCATGCTTAGGCTGGCGGCTGACTTTCCTAATGGGTGGTCTAGGTGATAAGCCTCTTGATGCTAAGATGATTCCTAGACAGGAGGACCAGTTCCCAGAATTGTCAGTAAGTCTGTGCGGCCTAGATAAGCCATTTCTGAAAGCTGTTATTACTCTCAGATACTTTCATTGACTGGCACGTAATAGAACCTAAACACGGTGATTTCAGGATACTGCGCTGGGGTTTCATTTGCCAGTTTAACTGCAAGGGGATGACTTTTTTTTTTTCTTTCCCTTTCTAGAAAGAAGACACAGCTCACCCAGCAAGCCTTCTTTGGCCGGTCCTCCCACTTCAGTGTTTTCCCTCTTCCCTTCTCTGTCCAAAAGCAAAGGAGGCAGTGCAAGTGGAAGCAGCCGCTCTTCCAGTGCAGGCCTCCTGAGCACGTCTGCCGCAAGCTCCAAGTTGTCGAAATCACCCAAAGAAAAACAGCAGCTCAGGGGGGACACCAGGTCAATACAAATCATTCAGCAAAGTAAAGTTAATCCGAAATTGTGAGTATGGCTATAGAGCCACAGCTTCCCTGCGGGGGGGCTGCATACAACAGTAATACCTGGGTGTATCCATTCATAATAGAAGACAGAGCCCATTTGGGGGAAATTTCAGAAATAGATGATTGATTCTCTTTGTTTCCCTCTTATTCTTGAGAGCTATTAGACAGTTGTGATAACAAAAATCATATTAATCTTTTGTTATGAGTCAAATACTAAAGCTAAGCTCTATGTATGAATTATGCTGAAGTAGAGATTGTTGCTAACCACCACTTTTTCTCAGGCAAGGAGAACAAAGCTTGATGAGCTTGAGGGACTTTAACCTTGGAGACTTCAAGTCAAACAGGCCCGGGGTTCAAATTATACCCCTGAGACTTCCTGGGTGCAGGGCTTTGGGCAAGGCCCTCTTTCTTCTCTTTTTGTATCTACTGTTCAAGGTTATAGGAAGCATGTAATGTATTCAATGTCATAGTACCTGACCCATAGGAGACTGGATTTCTTCTGCTCTTGCTAGTAATTATTACAAGGTGGAGATGTTTCAGGAATCTGCTCTAAAAGGTTTGTGGGCCTGTAGAGCAAATAGGGGAGCAATGCTCCCGCTCCACCAGCCTTGATGTCACAACAGCAATTAAGAAAGACTGGAAGGGGTTCCTACCCTCCAGGCAAGGGTCTGGCGAGTGTCCGCCCTGGGTCTGGAGGTTAGCAGGCTCCTGGAGGTCACGTGAGGGAGCAGGCATGCTCTCCCATGTAATCACATCTTGCCTCCTGGTGGCATCCCTCAGCCTTTGTGGCAGGGGGCCTTTCCCTGGCCGGCCGGCCTCCCTTCTGGAGGGTAAGCCACACACATCTCAGTCCCAGAGATCTGATAACCTGGTTAATTTCTGCAGGGTCCAGCACCTGCTACTGTCCGATGACTTGGCAGCTGGGAGATGCTACGGCATCTTGCGGTATCTGGCTGCAGATACAGCTGTTTGGAGCTATTTGTCCTGGTTGCTAAGCCAGCCCCCAGCCCAGCTCATCTGTCAGACGTGCAGTACAGAAACTTTGGCTTTCATTCCTGAACTGTCTCAAAGCCAAAGAAAATGCCAGTGCAGTTCATAAGCTACTCTTCAGCTTAACAGCTGTGAGAACAGAAACTCTACTGAACAAAGTGTGTAAAACCTCATCAATCCAAACCTCTATAAGGAGCAGGGCTTCAGAGGGAGAGCGAGCCATTGGCTAGCTTTGCACCACTACAGTAAGTTTCACCAAGCAGAATGTCAGTAAGATCCCAAGAGTAGTAGTCTGGTCCTTTGCTGGTAGTGTACAATTCCATGTTCATCAACCCTGTACCACGTGCTCCTACCCTGAGCACTGTAAACAGACACGGCTTCCAGGGCCTGGAGCATTACCATTTCACTCACACATCGTGCTCAAGTGAAACATTGGTTTTCCTCACTGGCAAACCACAGAACCACTGAAATCAATGCTTTTAGGTTAAAATATGTGTCAGTAAGTGAAAATGTACTAAACTCAGAAGCTTGGAGATATATTGTCAACTCACTGGTGCGTCTTGTGAATTCTTAGTAACATGTTTTTTGAAAGTATTCTCTCATTCTCCCCCACCCCCCCTTTTTTAGAAGTTTATTCTGTTTTGATGGATTAATTTGTTTAAATGACAGTTATCAAAAGCATACTCTCTGGATACCTTCCAGATAGTCTTGGGCTTTTTGAACCTTTTCATGTTTCTGCTTCTTGCAGAAATTGCTTTTGGTTATTAGGTCTGGTTGTCTCCTTGACCCAAGTGTAGCATTTTTCCAAAATACCGTATATACTCAAGTATAAGCCAACCTAAACATCAGCCAAGGCACCTAATTTTACCACAAAAACTGCATTTAAAAAATGTGCTGAAAAACTCCGCTTCTACATGAGCATATACGGTAATGAAAGATGCCATGAAATGTGAAGATCCACCAAGGTTTTGCCTTGTCAGGAGGGCTTATCCAGAATAAGTGTGACTCTTCCTGGTATTTCTGAATACAAGGTTCTAACACATAAGGTGCCCAGTGGGAGCTGGGCCAGATCTGCCCATGTCCCTCCAGCTCCGCAGCCTCCTAGGCCGCCGGGCACTCAGATGCTGGTATTGTTGCTTCCTCTATGACAGCCTGCCGGCCCCCGTCAAAGTGGAGAAGTTTCCCCCAAAGATGGACGGCACACTACTGAAATCTGCTGTGGGGCCAACCTGTTCTGCTACTGTGAGTTCCTCAGGCAAGCCTGGCCTTAACTGCCCCTCCATACCAAAGCAAAACTTGCCTTCACCCGGACAGATTCTGAATGGCAGAGGGCTTCCTGCACCACCCGTCCCAGAGAAGAAATCCGAAGACAGTTCCAATCATCGGAAATTTTTAAATAAGAGATTATCAGGTAACGTGACACTCTCCCTCTCGGGTGTGTGTATATGAAGTGAGGACAGGACAGTGGCCTTTCTTTAGGCAACACGCTGGTTGTCGTCACTCTTTAAGGAGCACGTCTACGTATATAAGGAATGCAAATGCAGTGTTTAGTAATATTTTGCAGGGTGTACTAATAATGTATCTTTCCTGTCACCTGATGGCTGTGGCCACCCTATCACTTGTCTGTGTTGCCTCTGCTTTGCGGGGTGTCACATAAATTCTTACAGATTGTGTATTTATTGATGACATGATAGGCTTTACTCAAATTATAAGTTATCTGTCTTGATATTCCTTCTTTACAAAATAATTCACAGAGTGTTTGTCAAGCCCATTGTAATGTCTGTGTGCTTTTGACAGAAAGAGAGTTTGATCCTGACATACACTGTGGGGTCATTGATCTCGACACCAAGAAGCCCTGCACCCGGTCTTTGACATGCAAGGTAGGTGGCCTCCAGCAGTGTGTGCACAGGACTCTGAGAAGCAGCCAGACGGTGTTCCCTGGTGACCCTCAAAGCCGAGAACCCGCAGGACTGTTAGGGATTTTGTAAACGACAGAGAGATAGTCATGGGTTGACAAAATGTGTAGTCTATTCTTAGAGGGGACAGTCTGGAGGGAAGGGAGGCGTTTCTGATGAGCAGAGCCATATCCAGGGGAACACTGTGCTTCCCTACGAAATTTGTTACTTGCAAAGGCTTGGTAATATGTCTGCAGAGACATTACTGTGGTGCAAATTGTTCTGATTTAGAGTAAGTGTAGAAATGCCCTTGGCATACAAATGAAGAGTCTCTACATGTCTGTAAAACCCATACTTCTGAAGTCTCAAAGAACCCCATTTAAGTACCTGTGGCTTTGTTGAGCTGGCCATGTTTTGCTACTGTGTCTTTTATTAGTTTGTTTAATGCAGCTGGCAGAATGTACCTGACTTATGCCTTGGCCAATAAAATATAAGGATCTTGAAGTGCTCTTCCTAAATGCTTGCTGCTGGAAAGACCATGCAGTTGTGTCACTGCCTCACTCCCTCTAGGGAGGCCTCTGCCCTTGCTCTCTCAAAGCTGGACCTCCCCTGCCTCCCTGGCTCCAGCAGCATGGGTTTCGCACCATTCCACTCACCTTTGACAAGTGAAGGCCCCTCTCCTTACTCAAGATGCTCTCTGTAGTCAGATCTGTTAGGCACTACAGTAAAGCAAATGCATTTTCACTTCATCATCTGCAAGGAGTTTGAGCTGCTTTCTTGCTGGGCCTTAGTGCTAGGTGACATAGCTTATTGTGGATCATCTCTCCCACCCCCATCTCCCTGCTCCATGCCTTCTTGTAAGGGCGTCATTACTAACTGCCGCATGGTGCGATGCCAACTGTTACTGCGGTAATATGTGCCTTCTGCTCTGGCTTGTCATATGTGCCTTCTGCTCTGGCTTGTCGTGAGTTCAGCATAAAACTGATGAAAAATGCATTGTCCTGCCAGCCATGCCCTTTCAGACTGCCCCGACTTTCTCATAGGGCTTTCTCTCTCGGCCTGTCTCCTCTCCTGGCCTCCCTCCCATTTGGCCCCAGAATCTGTCCCCACATTGCTGCCCTGGTCTCTTCTGTCTGGGTCATTGTTCCACTCTTCTTTGTCAGCCCTGCTGCTCCCTACTTTTGTCTTTCTTTCCCATCTTACCTGTCTGCCACCCTCACGGCCCCACTTCCCTCCCATGCTGTCATGTTCTGGTTGTCCTTGTCTTTTCAGGGTGGGAGGAGTGTGATGGCGTACATACGAGGCAAAGGCTCTGGCGGGGCGGGGCGAAGGGCAGGCAGTGCAAACACGAACACCGAACTGGCATGGAGAAGGCCAGGTAGCTGAAGAGGAAGGAGGTGGCATGTGGAATCAGAGGAGGAGGGAGTGGTGCCAGGAGTCTTAACGTGTGCAAGCCTAGTTACACAGCCATACAGTCCACCTCTGAATTCTGGGGTGGCAGTGCAGGACAAACGATGTGTGTGAAATTGCCAGATTTGTGTTTGGAGTATCTTTCTCAGTTTATGTGGAATCTTGCACTTTTCAAACAAGCTCAGTATATCCATGAACTCTGCCCACTTTCTTCACTAAGTACGTGAGGACATCGCAAGATGAGGAGAGAGGTTTATACATCTGTCTGGTGATGGGGGCAGGTGGACCAATGACATTGTATGGTCATTGAGTCAGTATGTACTGTGGTGGAAGGCTTTTTGCCTGAAGCCTCTACGTGTCGGGTGCATTGTTAGGTCTTGGTAAAATGCCTTGTCCTTGTTTAGGTGATTTTCTTGGGGATGTAAGACATCGTAAAATTGAGTACACGGGGAAAATGGGCAGCTGATATTAGGGGCTAGAGTAGAAGGCAAATGTTTTGAGAATGATGAGGGCAGCGAATGTACATATGTGCTTGACACAATGGATGGATGTATGGATTGTGATAAGAATTGTACGAGCCCCCAATAAAATTTTTTTTTAAAAACACTGTAGAGCAGTGGTTCTCAACCTTCTTAATGCTGCGACCCTCTCATGCAGTTCCTCATGTTGTGGTGACCCCCAACCATAAAATTATTTTCATTGCTACTTCATAACTGTAATTTCACTACTGCTATGAATCATCATGTAAATATCTGGTATGTAGGATGTATTTTCATTGTTACAAATTAAAGCATAATGATGAATCACAAAAAAACAGTACACATTTTTAAAAGAATGACACATTCATTTAGTTGCGGGTGCTGGATGACATTTTGTGCAGATTGTGGTTTGTCTGATGGAGTAGATTAGGTTATTGAGTTTTAAATGAATGTGGGAAGCATAATTCCCCCTTTAAATTGTAGTAACGTACTGTTATATATAAACTGGTGCATCTGTGTGTGTGTGTGTGTGTGTGTGTGTATGTATACTATGTTGACCACAAGCATGAAATATCGTTTATGATATTTTCAGCATTAAAGAGAAAAAGAAGTATAGAATTGAATTCACTGATCTTCAAGGGGTATGAGATTTAAGTCCACTGTGGTTAATGTAAATTCATTAAGAATTAGGGTCTCCTTACACTTTGCACAGATGGCAATTCCAGCAGCCTGGACTGGTCACACTAACTTGACTTGTCCACTCTTGTCACAGAGATAATAGCACTTGACTGCCCAGCTCTGACCAGTTCAGTTATCCGATTCCTTGGCCTTATTTTTTGCTAAGGGTGGCATGGGAGAACAATGAGGCTTTCCACTCCCTTGATGAGGTCAGTTCGAAAACCCGAGGAGGAGTTCTGCCCTGTCCTATAGGGCCACCGTGAGTTGGAATCAACTAGATGGCAGTGCGTTTGGTTTTGGTTTAAGTACAGTATTGGTCCTAATGACCTTTAAAAAAATTACAGTAATCCTCCACATTTGGAATGTAGACTTTTAAATATATATGTGTATATAATCTGTCTCTACCACTGCCCTGTCATAACTGCCCTTTTCCTCAATGCCCCATTTCTTAATTCTGAAATTAGATGACGATCCTCAGACTGCAGAATGTTCTCCATCCCATTTTCTTGATTTCAGTCACAAGCTTGCAGGAATTCACTGTGCTCACTCGCTCTGCTCCTCACCAGCCTTCCTTCCCGAGCCCACCTCCTGGCCTCCTCCTGGGCTGGAGGCAGCTCTAGTCTCCCCCTGGCTGCGGTGGAGAAGAGACCGTTGTGTTTCATTTTTCTGATGCATGTCTCATGGAATCATTTTTTCCCTCGAAACACTGAGCATTGTAAGTAGTTTGCAGTGACTTTCCTAGTGGAGTTGAAGAGAGCACCCATGACACTGTGTGTGCTTCTAACTGCTTAACAGGTGGCACCACTTACATGGCTGTTCCGAGGGAGGGGTGGGGACAGGTGATCCCCACACCAAAATCTCATACACTTGAGCTTGGAAGATGTGCTTCTTCCAAGTGGAAGAGAAAAATAATGTCCTCACATGATTTTCAGCTTATCAAATATTGAGTAGCCATGACACTGACACAGAATGCTTTAAAAAAAAAAAAAAGTTTTAGTACCATAATCCACTTAAATAGTTCATTCATACAGATTGCTTTGGGGGGGGGGGGCATGCATGTCTTGAATATATGACAGAATGAAAAAATCTACTGTCGGGGCCAGCAAGGAGAGTAGAGCTACCAGGAGGATTAGGGGGTTGGGGGAGAAAGGGGGACTCCATCACAAGGATCAGCCTAGAACCCCTCCTACGGAGACAAATAACAGAAAAGTGGGTGAGGGGCGACGGAGGATGGTGTAAGATATGGAAAAATAAACTATAACTTAAAAAAAATAATAAAAATTTTAAAAAATCTATAGCTTATCAAGGGTTTGTGAGGGAGGACGGGCGGGGGAGGGAGGGGACAGAAATGGGGAGCTGACATCAGGGGCTCAAGTGGGAAGAGAATGCTTTGTACATGATGGCGGCAGATGTGCTCGACAAAGTGAATGAATATATGGATTGTGATAAGAGTTGTAAGAGCCCCCAATAAAAGTAAGGAAAACAATTTTGAAAAATAAAAACTACTGTCAGTCCTCAGTTTCTGGGTTCTTTTTGTTGTTGTCTTTAGACACATTCCTTAACCCAGCGGAGGGCCGTCCAGGGAAGAAGAAAACGATTTGATGTGTTATTAGCTGAGCACAAAAACAAAACCAGGGAAAAGGAATGGATTCGCCATGCAAACTCTCAGCAACCAACGCAGCCTCTCAGGGACCCGCCTCCCGCCCTGCCTCGAGCTTCCCAGGGGCCACCCCACAGCTCCCATGGAGGGATTCCTGCCGAAGCAAAGCTTGCACTCGCTAGTAAACTTCAACCTCACACCTCCAGTCTTCCGAGGTAAGCCAAGCCCTCCCACTCTTCCTCCGAGGGCATCTCCAGGACAGCCCTGCGGTCTGGGAAAGTACATCATGCTCACGAAAGAAGAGTTTTTACTCTTACTATTTTTAATTTGGAGTTACTATGAGACAACGAAAAAATGTTTTTGGTTCACCAGCAAGTTTCAACCAGGGCTGCTGCTTGGCCAGAAAAAAGTTACAAATTTAAGTTTAGCAGTATCTGTTCCACTCGGGTCAGCATTAGCAATGGCCAGGGTTGAAACTCTGGTGTTTCCTGCAGGTTACTGATTAGAACATTTCACATGGCTTTGGCAACAGTGTCCCATTCATTTGTCTCACTTGTGAAAAACACAGCACTGGGGATCTGTGCTGGGGACAGGCTTTTAGGCTGAGTTTTTAGAGCATCCATTTTTTGACTTTTTTTTTTTTCCATTCATTCATTTGGGGCTTTGGCCTGAGCATGTGTTAGGCATGTTGGCACCATTCTAAGCAATGGATCAAAGTGTTTTACTGAGTATTTATCAGACACGCATCTCACGGGCCCTGACTGTGGACTATCTGGGTGCACGTGCGTGTGTGTTTGCATGCCTATCCAAGGAAAGGGCGTTGTACTCGATGTACAGCAGGCAGAGAGAGGCTGCTGTTTAAGTAGCAGCAACAAACACTGCTGTTACTCACGTTTCCCTCACTCGGCTGATCCTTGGAATGGTTGCACAGGGGGGTCAGGTACTTCCCTCGTGGAAAGTCAAGTATATACTCCAGCCTGACCTGCCTGAACCGCTGGCTTCTGGGTGTCCATGGGTGTGCGGTCAAGGGAGGCTCACCCAAGAGTGGTCAGGCCCAGCTGTCGTTGCCTTAGCAAGACCTTGGGCCAGCTCCTTGTGGACATTTTTCTGCAGGTGAAGGGGGAGCTTTAGCTTGAGAACCACCAGGACATTATAAATGTAGGAAAAATACCTTCGTATCCTTGCAAAGCAGGCTGAGGATAAAGTAGTCATGCTGCCTTGCTTTTATCTCCCCATTTCTACTGTGCTATTTTACAACCGTTTGCAAATTACCTCGAATAATTGCTGCCATAATCCAGTTGTACAGGAATGACACAATTCTCTTAGACTCCATATACATTTTCCCCCTTTGGGAGCCACCTGAGTTTGCCTTGCATAAAGAACTTTGGTTAAATCTGGCAGACAGCTGTGTTCAGCATAGCATTCTGGCAAAAGGAGCCCTGGTGGTGATAAGGTTTAGTCACTGGGCTACTAACCACAGGGTCAGTGGTTAAAACCCATCAGCTGCCCCATAGGAGAAAGATGAGGTGGTCTGTTCCCATAAAGATCTGTGGTCTCAGAAACCCACAGGGGGAAGTTCTACTCTGCCCAATAGTGTTGCTCTGAGTCAGTGAGTGAGGTGGTTCTAGAAGGAGGTCCCTTTCCTCCCAGGGCATCTGCTGGTCCCCAGTGTTGGTGGCCAGACCACCCAGGCCTCTCTGGTGATTGGATACATTGTATCTGAGTTAGGGCGGCTGTTCCCAGGCGTGTGATTGATCCATGATGCACTTTCTGCTCACCAAGGCCTCCAGGCTGCCCTGCTCAGCAAGCTGGGAGTGCCCCCATTGACCCTCCACCAGGCCATGAACCTCCACACCCTCCCCTGCCTGCCACTGAGCCAGCTTCTCGGTTATCCAGTGAGGAGGGCGAAGGCGATGACAAAGAAGAGTCTGTTGAAAAACTGGACTGTCATTATTCAGGTCATCATCCTCAGCCAGCATCTGTAAGTTCCACGTCCACCACCCCGCGTTGACCCTCCTTACGCAGCATGGACAGGGCACTGCAGGGGGGTGTGCCAGGGACCTCGGCATGCCCTCACGTGTGGGATGCGGCCCAGGTGTGCGAGCAGCTAGAACAGGGCACCCCAGAGGCGGCGTGGCACGCACTCTGTCCGGGGCTGCCTCCTGCTTTTCCCTTCCCACGGTACTCAGGGCTAGGCATTGTCGCGCTCATGCTTCACAGCTGTGGTCCTTGAGTAAGCTCCGTCTTAAATGGTTAGTGCCTTTCTTGAAGGAGAGAGAGCCCTCGCCAGGCTGTGCCCTCGTTGGAGTTGGTAAAGTTGCGTTCTCTTTCAGTTTTGCACATTTGGGAGCCGGCAGATTGGAAGAGGCTATTACGTGTTTGACTCCAGGTGGAACCGGCTTCGCTGCGCCCTCAACCTCATGGTGGAGAAGCATCTGAATGCGCAGCTGTGGAAGTGAGTGCCTGCCCTGGGCCTTTCTGCACGTCTACAACGTTCTCTTTTCTCTGTTTCTCATGGGGTGCGGTCATGAAGATGTGCTTATCCACAGTGAAAGCAAGGCCTTCCCCTCGTCCTGAGAAGAGGCCTCCTGTCTCCTCACTCGTCAGCCAGCTCTCCCCTTGAGCACACACACCTCAGTCTGGGGGCCTCCCACTGCACGGAGCTCACGTTCTAGTTGGAACCTGGAAACGAAAATAAAGGGGACACAGCGTGTCATAGTGGAACGCTGGAAAAAATAACAGCAAAGCTAATGCTAGCTTCCTCCGGCAGGCAACTTAATGAAATGCCTCTGTGGTGTTGTCACACACACTTCTGTAGGCTTACCATGATCACTCCTGTTTTGGAGATGCTGAAGCGGAAGTCATCGTTAAGACAGCACATTAGTGGTAGGGCCAGCCAGGCAGCCGGTCAGAAAGCCTCTGAAAAAGCAACCCTTAGCCTGGGCTGGCTGGCTGCCTGCAGTGCAGCTGCTGGGGGTGGGGCTGGTGGGCACGTTCTAGGCAGGAGTGATCCTGTGTGATACAGCAGGCTCGGCAGGAGCTCTCTGAATTCCACAAGACAACGAACCTCACCCTGGTCGTTTATAGGACTTAGCATTTGTTCTGTAGCAGCTCTGGGGGTGCTGTGGGTAGGTGTTGGGCTGCTTGTCACAAGGTCAGGGGCTGACCCCACCAGCCATTTTGTGGGAAAGCTGAGTCTACCTGCACCCCTAAAGATTTAGCACCGTTTGAAACCTCCTATAGGGTCGCTGTGAGCCAGAATTGACTTGGTGGCAGAGGGAACATCTCTTCTAGACAGCCAGACCCTGCTAGTCTATCTCCTGCTGGTCATCTCCTCTGTAGCTCACTGCTTTCGAAACTCTTCTACTGAGGCCTACCAGAAGGAAGGAGCATTGTTGTTGCTCAGACACGGCATGGGGGCAGTGGATTCAACGTGGGGATATGAGAGCCTCTCCACATCAAAACACTCCCAAGATGTGTGAAATCTCAGCTGCTTGTTCAGTCAGACCGCCCTGTGCTCATCAGTGTTGAGAAGGGGCCCCAGAACATTTGCCCCCGCTATACTGGTGGTGTAGTGGGTTTTGTCGTAATCCGGAAAGTCAGCAGTTTGAAACCACCAACTGCTTTTCAGGAGAAAGAAGGATTTCTCATCCCATAAAGAGGCATAGTCTCAGAAACCCACAGGGGCAGTCCTGCACTGTCCTATAGGGTCACCATGAGTTGAGGCGTCACTGGGTGGCAGGGAGTTTGGTTTGGGTGTACCAGTCTGTGACTTGTGACCAGAGGCCTGTGGGTGAAGATGGCCTTAGTTCCTGAAACAGCCACCCATGTTAGCAGGTTTTCCAGATTACAGTGTGAATTAAATGTCTGACAAGCAGGATTGTGCCCTATCCCCAGTCAGAAGGGTGAGACCATCGCATTTGCTTCTAGGAAGAGCAAACCATCGCTTTCCATTATGTGACCTCTACATGTTAAAAGGTCCAGGTAGGAGGGACAGACTTACTGCTTACTGTGAGCTGGCTTACAGACTGGGGCTGCCTGGAGTTTGGGAGAGGTGCCTTCTCAGGTAGTCCTGGGGGTGGGGGTGGGGGTGGGGGCGGGGTTTGGTTGGCACTGGGTCGGTGTTCTCACCCAGCGGAAATCTGTCCAGGGCATTTCTCAGACCCTTGGTGAGACTCACAGTGGTCCTGTGTTGCTGCCGCCCAGCTCACCCAGAATTCCTTCTTTCCAGGAGGAGGCCCAGGTGTCCATCACCCCGGCCTTTAGCTGCTTATTGGTATGGATTTGTGGCTCAGTGGAAGTAGGATTTGAGCTAGTAGGAAATATATTGTCCTGTACATGCTGTCTTGAACAGTGAGGACATGAGGCTAGTGGCTGCTCTGCAGGAGGCCATGTCTCACCTGGGATTTCTGTGAACTGTCCCTTCTATGGTAATAGGGGACCACTATCCCTATTCCCTGAAAGGGGTGGTGGTGGGGTCTTGCTGTTTGTTGGTCGTGTGGTATTTTGAATAGAGAAGACTTTCCCTTGATTATAGAGAGGAAGTGAAGCAGAAAGAGGGATGCAGTGATAAGTCCACAGCCCCCACCCTCCCACACAGATGGAACTGTGTGCTTTAATTGTCCTGTCTACCCTTCAGGAGCCCTGGCAGCATAGTGGGTTACAGGTTGGGCGTCGAAGCTGAAGGTCAGCAGTGGGAACCGACCAGCTGAGAGGGAAGAGGCCTGGGAGGGCAGTTCTACTCTGTTCTCCTGAGGGTCACTGTGAGTCAATGGCAGGGAGATTTTGAGTTTGGAAACCTTCACAGAGCTTGTGCAGACACAAGTCAGGAAGATTATACGAGGTGGTACCCTCCCCTCAAGTGGAATTATTTTTCTTTTTTTAATCATTTTATTGGGGGCTCATACACAACTCTTATCACAATCCATCCATACATCAATTGTATAAAGTACGTTTGTACATTCGGTACCCTCATCATTCTCAAAACATTTGTTCTCCACCTAAGCCCCTGGCATCGGGTCCTCATTTTTCCCCCTCCCTCCCTACTCCCAGCTCCCTCATGAACCCTTGATAATTTATAAATTATTATTTTGTCATATCATCCACTGTCCGACATCTCCCTTCACCCACCTTTCTGTTGTCCGTCCCCCAAGGAGGAGGTTATATGTAGATCCCTGTAAAAAAGGGTTCCCCCTTTCTACCCCACCCTTCCTCCACCCTTCCAGTATCGCCACTCTCACCACTGGTCCTGAAGGGA